ATTGACATCTTAACAATACTAAGTCTTCTAATCCAAGACATGTCTTTCCATTTTATTTGTGTCTTCCTTAATTTCTTTCAACAACGTCTCATGGTTCACAGTGTAAAAGACTTTTACCTCCTTGATTAAGTTAATTCCTAAGAATTTTATTCTTTTTGATGCTATTATAAATGGAATTATTTTCTTAATTTCCTTTTCAAATTGTCCATTGTTAGTGTATAGAAATGCAGCTAATTTTTACATGTTGATTTTGTATCTTATTACTTTGCTGAATTTGTTTATTAGTTCTAATAGTTTTTGGGAAATTGTTAGAGTTTTCTTCATCTAAGATCATATCATCTCCAAACAGAGATAATTTTACTTCTCCTTTCTAATTTGGATGACTTTTATTTCTTTTTCTTGCCTCATTGTTTGGCTGGAGCTTCCAATACTATGTTGAATAGAAGTGCCAAAAGTGGGCATCCTTGTCTTATTCTTGATCTTAGAGGAAAAGCTTTCAGTCTGTCATCATTGAGTATGATGTTAGCTGTGGATTTTTCATATATGGTTTTTATTATACTCATACAATTTTCTTCTATTCCAGATTCGTTGAGTGTTTTTATCGCAAATGCTTTTTCTGCATCGAGATGATCAGGTGATTTTTTTCCCTTCCTTCTGTTAATGTGGTGTACTACACTGATCAATTTTGTGTATTGAACTATCCTTGCATTCCAGAAATAAATCCCATTTGGTCATTGTATATAATCCTTTTAATATGCTGCTGAATTCAGTTTGCTAGTATTTTGTTAAGGACTTGTGCATCAATATCCATCAGGGATATTGGCTGTAGCTTTATTGTAGTGTCTTTGCCTGGCTTTGGTATCAGGGTAATGCTAGTCTCATAGACTGAGTTTGGAAGTGTTCTCTCCTCTTCAATTTTTTGGAGGAGTTTGAAAAGGATTAGCGTTAGTTTTTCTTTAAATGTTTTGTAGAATTCACCAAAGAAGCCATCAGGTCCAGGGCTTTTCTTTGTCAGGAGTTTTTTTATTATTGACTCAATGTCCTTACTAATTATAGGTCTATTTAGGTTTTCTAATTTTTGTGATTCAGTCTTTGTAGATTTTGAGTATCTAGGAATTTGTCCATTTCATCTAGGTTATCAATTCGTTGGCATACAATTGTTCATAGTACTCTCCCATAATCCTTTTTATTTCTGTAGAATAGATAGAAAAGTCCTCACTTTCATTTTGGATTTTAGTAATTCAAGTCTTCTCTCTGTTTTTCTTAATCAATCTATCCAAAGGCTTGTCAATTTTGTTAATCTTTTTGAAAAGCAACTTTTGGTTCCATTGATTTTCTCTATTGTTTTTCCAGTCTCTATTTTATTTATTTCTGCTCTAATCTTTATTATTTCCTTCCTTCTGGTAGCTTTGGGCTTAGTTTGTTCTTATGAATATAATTCATTTTTTAATTCTGCTTAATGTCACCCCTGAGGTTCCCCTCCCCCAAAAACCACAGCACTTTCTTATAGTACTAACTTTTTTCTATCTTGTATTATTGTTATTTATGCAGTTTTTTTCTTCCCCTTCTAATCTGTAAGCTCAACAAGGCCAGAGTTAATGTCTGATTCATTTTTGTAGCCTTATAGAACAATACTTTGATCATAAGGACAAGAATTTACAGTCATTTAGTGCCTACTATAGATTAGATGTTATGCCAAGTATTTTCCATACATAGTCTCATTTATTCATCCCACAGCATCTACATTTTACAGATGAGAAAACTTAGGCTCAAAGAGAAAGTAATCTGCCAAACTCATATGGCTATTAAGTAACAGAAACAGGACATAAACCCAGGTCTGTGTGACTTCAAAGAACATTTTCCCCATTAAACTATACCCCTCTTACTCATTAATTTATTAAATCAATATCTATTGATCACTTACTATATGTGCCAGGAACTGCTCTGGTATTGAGGCCATATTAATGAACAAAAGAGACAAAGATTCTTGCCGATGAAGCTTATGTTCTTTTGAGGGAGAAGACAACAAAGGGCAGAGTAGTATGCAATTTAAATAGGATGGTCAGGATAAGCAAAGATTTGAATCCAGAGGGAACAGCTAGAGCAAAGGCCATAAATGAAGATGAGGCTTTTGGGTTCACGGATGGGCAAGGAGGCCACTGTGGTTATAGCAGAGTGAGTGAGGGGGAGATTAATAGGAGAGGAGGAGGTCAGAGAGATAAGGAGGTAACAGGGTAATGGGATAAATATAAGTGAATGTTCTTTTATGATTGTGCAATATTTCACATATGTAAAGTACATTTAACATATATGTATATATTTTAAAGAATAACCTTAAAACAAACGTCATCATTACAAAAATTTGTGTGGCACTCTCCCCATCCAAAGAAAACAATTTGTCTATTTTTTTTATTATCCCCATACAATATATTATTTATTTTGGCTTAGTTTGGAAATTTATATTAATTGAATAAAACTGTATGTATTTTTCCGTCCACTGCTTTTTTTCAATCTATATTTGGTTTTTGAGGTCCACCTTTATTTATATTTGCAGCTATAACTCATTAATTTACACTTCTATGTTGTATTAATCCATTTGTGGGAAAAGGCCACAATTTATCCAGCATATTGTCAAATGGGTTTTTTCCAGGGTTTGCTACTACAAACAATGTAGCTATGAACATTCTTGTCTGTGTCTCCTGTGAAGATGCATAAGAGCTTTTTAAGTATCTAAAGAGTGAAATTGCTGGGTCGTGGGGAATGCACTTGCTCAGTCTTGCTGGGTAATGTTTACTGTTCTCCAAAGTGATTTACACTCATAAGCATTCTGAACACATAATAAGCATCCAATAAGTATTTGAAGAAAGAAAGGACTTTTAAAATTTTCTATTTAACTTGGAAATAATATTAGATTTACAGAAAAGTTCTAAAGATAGTATCAAGAGTTCCCCTATACTCTCGATCCAGTTTCCACTAATGTTAGCATCTTAGATAACCATGGTACATTTACCAAAACTAAGAAATTAACATTGGGGGCCGGCCCCGTGGCTTAGCGGTTAAGTGCGCACGCTCCGCTGCTGGCAGCCTGGGTTCGGATCCCGGGTGCGCACCATCGCACCACTTCTCTGGCCATGCTGAGGCCGTGTCCCACATACAGCAACTAGAAGGATGTGCAACTATGACGTACAGCTATCTACTGGGGCTTTGGGGGGAAAAAATAAATAAATAAATAAAATTTAAAAAAAGAAAAGGCAACCTACAGGATGGAAGAAAATATTTTTAAAAAAAGGAATTAACATTGCTACAATGCTATTAGCTGAACTACAGACTATATTTGGGTTTTGCTAGTTTTTCTAATAATGTTCTTTTTCTGTTCAAGGATCCAATCGAGAATACCACATTACATATAGTTGTCATGTCTCCTTAGTCTCTTCCAATCTGTGACAGTTTCTCTGTCTTTCCTTGTTACTCATAACCCTGACACTTTGAGAGAGTACTAGTCAGATATTTTGTAGAAGGTTCCTCAATTTGAGTTTGCTGATGTTTTCATACAAATTTGGGGGCAATACACCACAGAGTTGAATTACCCTTTTCATTACATCATATCAGGGGGTACATGACATTAACGTGACTTATTATTGGTGATGTTAGCCTTATCACCCGGTTAAGTTTCTATCTACAAGGTTTTTCACTGTAAAGTTACTATTTTTCCCTTCCCCATACTCTAGTCATTACAAGCAAGTCACTAAACCCAGTCCACCCTCACAGGAAAGAAAACCAAGCTCCACCTCCTGGAGGAGTATCAAAGAATTTTGATAGACGTGTTGAATTTACCACAGTAATTAATAAATATTTGGGGGGAGATGTCTGAGCAAATATCCTGTTGCTCCTTAATATTTCAGCCACTAATTTTAGCACTCATCCATGAATCTTGTCTACAGCAATTATTCTTGTGGTATTCTAACGGTCTTTTTCCATTCCCTCATTCCTTCTATAGGCACTATTTGGAATTCTTCTCCAAGGAATATTTGTCACTCCTCTACCACTTAATTATTTATTCTATCATTTATTTATATAAATATGAACTCATGGGTATTTATTTCATTCTTTGGCTTGTACTTCAGTAGTATTCATTATTTATTTTATTACTTGAATTGTTGCACTTTTGGCCATTGGGAGCTCTTACAAGTCAGATCCTGTGTTCTTTTGACATGCCCTATTCCTTCCCCCCCTCCCCTCCTTACTTTCTGGCACCACAAAATGCTCCAGGCTCATCATGAATTTTCCCTGCCCTGGCCCTAGAATCAGCCATTTCTCTAGGAATCCCTAGTTCAGAAGGAACCATTTTTAAAGTCAATTTCCATGTGTTATTATGTGTAATTCCTGGATTATTTCTGTGCTATAATTAATGCTATAATTAACTATAGATTTTCTATAATTAAGCCGTATATAGTATAGTACTCAGGCTAATACACCGTGTTAAAATGAAACAGGAATCCATCAACAATGCTCACCCTTCTTTCTCTTCTAGCACTTACCTACACAATCTCTATGGGCCCTACAGGCTATCCGATTTTGTGATTCTACAATGAAAAGACAAAAGGAAAAGATGCTCCCATGAGGAGCTTTTCCTTGGGTCAGAGAACTGTTTCATTTGGCCAAAAACATGTTTAAGCCTAGCTGACCTCTATTTCATCTTTTCTAGCCTTCCTACAGTTTAGTCTATTCCTTCCATTTTATTATAAACTTCGAAATGGAATTTTAAGTTTGTTTTGCTGTATCAAATTACTATACAAGTAAGGTAACAAAAATATAGAACAATAAATGCTGCTTACTTATAGAGTCTACATCTTCTTGACATTACCCTAATGTGATCTACTGCTACCTAAACCATTAGTCATTAAACAGCTTAAACACTAGAGTAGTGGTTCTTGACAGAAGGATTTTTCTCCCCCAGGGAATACTTGACAATACCTAGAGACATTTTTTGTTGCTGACAACTGGGAGGGATGCTACTGGCATCTAGTGGGTAGAAGCCTGGATGCTGCTAAAGATCCTACACTGCACAAGGGTCCTCCACAACAAAGAAATATCTGACCCAGAATTCCACAGTGCCAAGGCTGAGAAATCCTATGCTAACAGAACTTTCAGTTTTAAAATTGGCTAAATGGTTAAATAACAGATATTTTCCTCCAAAACTCTTAAAGAAAATATTAGCAAATACCAAGGACTATCTCCGCTAAAAAGTTGAGTACAATAAAGGATTTTTCTGGAAGAATCAGATGATAGAATATGAAAGATCCACTGTAGCTACAAAACACCGAGAAAGCAAAGGCAGAGGTAAAGACTTATGCTGTGTCTTAATTCATTCCATTTTGAATAAGTTATTTATCTGACTCAGCCAAGGCTCAAATGCATCAGAAAAATAAATTGTTAAATACGCGGATTATCACTGAGTTTGCACTGTAAACCAAAACAATAATGGTCTTCTGGCTAACAAGATATGATTCTAGTGCGATGTAGGTAAGAGAATTTGGGGTCCGGAGACAGAAGCTAGGAAGGAGCCTAGACATGGCTCCATCTCTTGTTGACTGTGTGACTCTGGGCAAGTCATATAGCTTTCCCGGGTTCCAGTTTCCTCGTCTGGAAACTTTCCTATCAAAGTCGATAATAAAATGTGAATGCTAATGCCTTCCTTATCTACATTACAGCGTCATTGTGAGAATCAAAATTTTTTAAATGCGCTTTCTCTTTACTTCTTTGGGTACTGATATCTTCTCACAATATCTTTCTTACACTTCATAGTATAAAGTTTTGGAAAGAACAATGCCTTTGGAAGACTAATGAAAAATGGATTCCTAGAGAGAGAAGGTTGAGCATCTTGACTAATTTTTTTCCTCTTCAAGGGTCCCATTAGAGTGTGAAAATACATTGAAAAACAATATCAGCGACAAGCCACAAACTAGAAGAAAATATTTGCAAAACACATATCTGATAAAAGACTTATATCTAAAATTTACAAAGAACTGTTAAAACTCAACCATAAGAAAACAAACAACTCAATTTAAAATTGTGGAAAAAATCTGAACAGACACCTGCCCAAAGAAAGTATACAGATGCCAAACAAGAATATGAAAAGATGGTCAACATCACTTGTCATTAGAGAAAACAGTGAGATACCACTACCTACCTATGAGAATGGGTAAACATTTTTTCAAAAACTGACAATACCAATTGCTGACAAGAAGGTGCAGCAACAAGCACTCTCATTCATTGCTGGTGGGAATGCAAAACGGAAAAACCACTTTGGAAGACAGCTTGTCAGTTTCTTACAAAGCTAAACATAGTATTATCACATGATCTAGCAATCACACTCCTCAGTATTTACCTAATGGTTTGAAAACTTAAGTCCTCACAGAAATCTGCATGTAAATGTTTATACAGCTTTATTCACAATTTCCAACAACTGGAAGCAAAGAAGATGTCCTTCAATATGTGAATGAATAAACAAACTGTGGTATATCTATAAAAGGAAATATTATTTCTTAATAAAAAAATGAGCTATCAATACACACAAAGACATGGATGAACACTAAATGCATACTGCTAAGTGGAAGAAGCCAGTCTGAAAAGACTATGTACTATATGAGTCCCATTATATGACATTCTGGAAAAAGCAAAACTATAGCAAAAGTAAAAAGATCAATGGTTATCAGGGGTTTGGGAGGGTTGAATAGGTGAATCACAGAGGATTTTTTAGGTCAGTGAAACTATTCTGTATGATTCTGTAACGGCAGACACATTGCATGTGTCAAAACCCATAGAATTTTACAGAACTTTTACATTAAAGAGCAAACTTTAACATTTGCAAATATTCCAAAATCATTTAGGAGATTGGGGATCCCCTAATGGTATGCAAACTGTGACAAAAGAATCTAAGCGTATTACAAATATATGGAACAACCTTACTGAAAAGGATGGGGGGAAATGGTGCTGACCTAAGTATTTTTGGAAATTAATTGAATCTATAAGAAAAAAGGCAAAAGAAACTGCATGTAAGCACTGTACTCTAGTCAATAAAGTTGTTTCCCACAGGAGTACAGGTTAACAATTCTCATTTTACTATGCAAGTATATTGAAACTGAACAATTAAATAAATGAATCATGGATGGTAGGAACCAAGTTTCTCACTATTGGAGTCGGAATTTACAGACAAGCAAGAGAAGGAGGCTAGAATGATCTAGCAGTAATGGATTAAAGTCGGATACATCAGTATGAACTCATGTTTAACTTAATATAGATACATATGATACTTGTAGAAATATTTATAGATATGCGTATATACATGGGTTTGTACACACACATATATTCCCTTGCTCTGTCAGCTGAGAGGGCCTAGAAGCAATGACACCCTAGTAGCCATAAGTACACCTAGCACTCAGATCTTGGTCTCTAATACCATTCTCCAATAAAAGGAACCAGGGCCCCTTGGAGAAATGTGGGATTTTAGGGCTGGGGCAGGATATATACAAGATGATCCAAGAGCATCTTATAGTACCAGAGATTAAGGAAATGCTCAAAAAAAAAACACTGATGAGGGTATGTCAAAGGGACACAAGAATTCCCAATGGCCAAAGCTAGGACAATTTGGGCAATGAATAACTAGAATAATATTGGATTATAACCCAAAGTATAAAATAAATATCCATGAGTCCATACTGATATAAAAGATTGAATAAATAAGTAAATGGGGGGTAAGAAACAAATCCTCCACGCAGAAAAATTCCAAATAATTTATGTAACTACTCTACCCTCAAGGAGGTGGAGCAAAACTCCTTACTCCTTAAGTGTAGTCTGTGCAAAGTGACTTCCTTTCAAAGAGTACGCTATGGAAAGGGAGAAAAAAGACTAAGTTTACCTGACAAATAAGTCATGTTGATAGAATGTACTCTTGATGTGATGTGAGGACAATGGCACTTTACCTCTGAGATTCTCCTCCCCAAAACCCACAACCCCAAGTCTAATCAAGAGAAAAACATGAGAAAAATTCCAGGAGAGGGGTATCTTACAGTATACTCAATCAGTACTCCTCAAAACTTTCAAGGTCATCCACGGCAAAGAAAGCCTGAGAAACTGTCACAGCAAAGAGGAACCCAAGGAGACCTGACAACTAAACGTAATGTGATCCTGGAACAGAAAAATGACATTCAGTGAAAACCAAGTAAATCTAAACAAAATATGGACTTTTGTTAATAGTAGTATATCGATATTGGTTCAGTAACTATAATAAACGCACCACAATGATGTAATGTAATAATGTATGATGTTAATGATAGGGGAGATGGTGAGGAATATATGTGAACTCTTTGTACTCTAAGGTCACAATGTTCCTGTAAATATAAATAAAAAACTGTTCCGAAAAACAATCAATGCAAAACATCATTAGAGAGAGCAATAATGGATTAAACTGTGATTGCACTTCTTCACAAGCATTTGGTTTTACTAACAGAAAATGAGACCACATGACTAATTTTTAAATTTGCTCAGAAGTCTACCCTGGGGCAGCTGGAGCCACCATTCAGTCAAAAGTCATTTACAAAAGCTAACAGAAAGGTGACAGTGCGTAAGTACACATCAGAATACACATCAGAATGAGGTTCACAGACAGTAATAATAGAATAAGCTGGAAAATCTTTCCTTTCACATATATAGTGAGCCTGATTTTTATTTCCTACTTCTCTAATAAAGAGCCAAGGGCAAAGGACCTTCACTCATATCATTGAGCAAGGGTCACAGGGATCTTCTGGTATGCGCAAAGATCATTCATTGACCTTTCCTCCCAGAACAATGGAGCCCTGGTGAGGTCCATCTGCTTCTGAGCATCAGCATCCCCCTCTCCAATTCCAGTATCTGGTAATCTACCAGATGTTTCAAAATACGTATTCAAGCATTACCTTAAAACAGCAGATAAAAAGAATTTAAAGTGTAAATTATTAAACTTGACAGAGGGGCACTTGCTGGAAAATGTGGTGGATTTACCTATCGTCCTTCCCTCTCTCTCTTCTCCAGTCTACTCATATCAGCATCAGACTTCTGCAAAAACCAATGAAACTAGTTGTTCATTTAGAGCAGAGATCAGTTTGGTTTTGTATCCAGTACCTATAAGATAATATATTTCCTCCCCGAAGTTCCACCCCAAAACATAGCTTCCTGACCCACGGAAATTTCCCCCTCAGCTAAGCGTAAGTTTCACTCTGCTAGGAAATCACGGAAGATGTTCTTTTCAGCCTGACTTATTTTGAATGTTCCAGTGCACTTGAAACTGAACCCCTTCCGTAAAAGAGGGGAGGGTCACGAAGGCACTCATTACACAACAAATCTTGAAAACACCTAGAATATTGAACTAAAAAACTCATTCTATTATTCCTTTCCCCATCCCGCAGACAGCCACACTAATACGAATGACATATCATCAGTATATATAAAGATCCCAATTAAAACAAACAACTAAAACTCACTCTGGGGCGCTAATTGCTAATCTCTCTGTGGTCCAATTCAAGTTCGTTTCTTTGGAGCATCACTGTCTCCCCTCAATTCGCAATACAATTAGAAAGACTTTCTAAGCTTTAAGCACTTTAAGCTCATTGGGGATGGCATCACAGGAACGAAAGGGACCACGGGAAAAGGAAGCGCAAAGGCAGGGAGCAAAGGGAGGCAGTCCGCGTGTTCTGCAGTTTGATCCTGACATCAGGTTATTAAAATTAAAGATGGAAAACCCATATTGAGTCATTCAGTTCTCTCCCTCGAGGCCAGTAGATTATGCTGGATAGTATATTACGTAGCACTTTGTCCGGTTCTATTATAAATAGCCCTTCCTTGGAGGCTATTACCTCAAACCTGGCAAGGATTTTATTACAAATGGAGGGCTTTCTACTGGTTGGTCATTTCTTCCACAAAATGCAATTCTCCTGCTGAGATATTAAAAAATAAAACTTACCAAGCAACATGAAAACAGTGTGGTATTGTGGCAAGAGTGTGGAGCACCAAGCAAATTGCCCCAGAGTAGCCCCA